ACACCAGTGTCCTGCTGTCTTCCAAGTTCCCATTCACTCCTCAAGGAGCTCTTCATGCTGATAATTTCACTATGACCTCTCTTTCAGTGGTGCAACTTTAGTATTTTCGAAAGTGCTTTTAGATCCAAAAGTACATGTGCCTAAGGGACTGATTCACCTAATAATTCCACCTTCACTTCAGCTCGGCAATAATATGTAGAAACATCTGCGCATAAGAGTCAGAAGACAAGTTCCTGTTCCAGTTCTACCACTAACAGTGGGCACATTGGGCATGTCCAGTCTTCAGCTCAAAAGGGCATGAGTCAGGGCTGAACCTCAGGCAAGTCTTCTGGGGCTGACACCGTGGCCACCTACGTTTGTATCATCAAAATGAACCCACTCGTGGTTGCCCATTATAGCTCCTTGTTTAAAAAAAAGGGTCCTCTCAGTGACTCCACTGCTGTCAAATCATCTCAGCCTGTGCCCCTGACTCTATCTTCCCACATGCAACAGACCAGGGAACCCCAGCATTTCTTCCTTCTCTGCTGTAATTCTGCTTTTGGCAAAGGTTGTCCTGGTGAGGCAGCGTGTATAGGAGCAATACCTTCCCCCACAATCAGGAAAGACCCAAGTTCTGGGCCCAGTATCGTGCTGTCTACAACAGCATAAGCGACCTCAGTGTCGCTTCTCAGTGTCTCCGTGTCCTCTACAAAAGCAGGCAGTTACGTGAAGCTGTTTCCTACTTCTAAAATTCAATGACTCTTGAACTGACAATTTCCTGCATATCCAAAACTAGCCAAACTTGCTAGCTAACTTATTCATCCCTTGACTTCACTGAAATTGTACAGGCCTGACTCAAAAACAGATCAAAATTCATGATGCTAAAAACAGTAAAGCAACTTGCTCAGTAAGGACCCACACAAAATACTGGGGGGTAAGGAAGGAAGGGCTCCTCCTAATTACACTGAAATTATTCCCGCTTCTCAGGAATCTCTGCTCTGGAGATCTAACCTCCAAGGACGGTACTAGGAAAACCTCTCATGGGCAAACTTACATATATGCCTTCTCCTTTAACAAAGTAATTATTTCCCAAGGTTTAGACAAGCATTCGGAGACAACAGTTAATGTTCGCTTAGATGTGCAATTAATTCTATATTACATTCACAGATATGAATAGCAGATGTGACATCTCCGTATATATACAAAGATGTGGATAGACCAAAGCCACATCTGTCATTCATACACATGTAAATGAACTTAAAACCAATGTTGAAAAAAAAAAAGTGAGTGGTAAAAATACTGATTATTGTAGCAAAGAGCTCATGATAATACTGTATCAACCGTCACTTCAAGTATATAGACACTGCTATAAATAGTTGGATAATTAAAAAGTACTTCAATAGTTCATGTGAGTTTCAGCTTTTCTTGTAATTACTGTTTTATCCTTTACTTTTGGTACCTCACACCTTAACTAGAACAACCAATAGGTTTTAATGTCTTCAAATAATTTCTGTAAAAACTGCATTCAATAAACTAGCTCTGAACTAAAATGATGACAGTCCAGTAAGATGAAGTTGAATGACCACGGGGTGAAATGATTACAGAAATAAAGAGATCTGTGCAGATAAGGGCACTCTTCCTAGAATTAGCTCTTAACTTGGTTTTTAAAAGCCTTAAAAGAATTGCACAGATTGAATCAAAGTAGATGAGAACACTGAACCATAATCAGCCTTTTCAGTCCTATGGAAAACATAAAATCAAAGACGTTCCATTAGGAAAAAGTCTCAAATATTTGAGACTGTGAACAGTGATAAATTCAGTGAAACCAGTTCATTGATGCAGTTATAATTGCTATTTCAGGAAACTCATAGTTTCTCAGCCTCAGTACTAGTACTGTGTTTAGTGCCCCTCCCACACAAGAGGAAGCATTTTGAGACCCCAAAATGTCTCCAAACATTGTTAAAATCTCTACCGTGGCAAAATCACCCTGCATTAAGAACCACTGGGGTAAAGTCAGTGTCGAGTTGTAGAAAGCAAATTCACGTTACAGAAACACTTGAGTGCATGAGTCAGGGAAAAGCTATGACCTGAGGTTTCCACTCTCCTCTGGAGACACCACATTCTCTACAGGGTAAGAACAACACACCCAAAACCAGAAGCATACCATTTCCACGGGCTGTGCCTGCTGGCAGCCTCACAAGTTCCCAATTCACAGACAAGTCAGAGAAAACACATCAGCATCTTCCAGGTAAGTCTCAGGAAACTCTGGGACTGCTAGGTGTGGCACCTTCTTGGTGATGGTGGGGTGAGCTTCTATATGTTTGTCTTAAGGCATTAAATATGCAGGTAAATACACACATATTTTTAAGATTGTTTCGGCAAAACTACTACTTAAATCCAACTAAACAGAATATTGGGGGAAATTTACATTCTAATTAAAGGAAGCTTTTTCTCACTTCATCTGTTGTCAAAAAGCTGGACTGTAGCACAGAATGCTAAGCAAAACCACATTTTCTTCATCAACTAAGAATTTTGTCGTGCTTCATGATATATGAAAATCAATTATGACTAAACAGTATTGAAGATTCAGAAATGCAGAGACCAGACTGAATCTAAAAATAATGCCAAGTTATTCTGCATGGGGGAAAAAAAATCTTTTTTTTTAATAGAGTTCAATATTCATCTTACTTGACTCTTTCCTAAAAATAAAAAGACCAAAATTAATCTGGTTACCCAAGTTTACTTTCTGTATTGCAACTAATTAAGTTTCTCTTCACTAGCAATATCTGACTTGGATTCCTTATCATTCAAGGCATTAATAAAAAGTTCAACAACTCCTTTGCTTACTTTCAGTAAAGTCTGTTTCCTAATTTGTAATACACTTTGGCTGTGAAATATATTTAGCATGTTCTGACAATCAAAATGCATGCCAAGAAAAAGCATTTTCAGAAATTTACACAAAAGAGCAACTTCTCAAAACACTGAACTCACACATTATACTTCCTATAAAGTAACAAATCAATTCAAAGGTAAACAACCACCTTCAGTTAAACTTGTTAGTAAGTAGATTAGTTACTTAGGTTTTTTTAACTGTTGTCTGATCCCAGGATGAATTACATCCGAATCTAAGACTTTAGCATATGCAGATGTAGGAACCATAGCTGTAAAGCAACTGATTATTTTCTCCCTTTTAAATGTGTTCCCTCTTTTTCCCATTAGTGTTTTTTAGATAGTAAGTGTCTATAATCTCAAAAATAACCTGGGAAAACGCTTTAAAATTCAGACTCAAAGCTGTAGTTACATGCACAGTTTCTCAATAAGAAACACAAGCCCTTAAAATTTTTAACAGGCATGCTCAATCATCTAGGTAAATTCTAAAGCAGTTCTCACACAAGAACTACAATCTAGGGTTCCCTAAGATACTTTAAAGTTATCTTTAAAAGAATATATGAACAGGGCCTCCCTGGTGGCACAGGGTTGTTAAAGACAGCACTATTGAGCTATCCCAGCCACTGTGGCGAGTCCAGGGAGCTATCCACGTGGCAGAGCAGACCTCTCCTGCCTCTCCGCTGCTCCCCTCAGCAGCGTATTTCAGTAGATCTGCCTGTTCTACTCCCAGTTCTGTCTCTGGTGAATCCTCTTTTCCACCACCCCCCACCTCTGGCCCACACCCCAGTTCTTCTATGCATAAATAAAAATAAATCCTTTAAAAAAAATACACAACCAAACTTAATAACACCTTGGAATGGATGAGATGAGGATTTTGTATTTCTTGCTCCTTACAAGTCTATTATTTCATTTTAAATAACTGAGCATATCCTTTGTTCTATGGTGAATGCCCCCCCCAAAAAAATACTCATAAGAAACTACTTTTGAATAGTATTCAGAACAAGCCCTATTTAGTGAAACCAAGATTATGCCAGCACCGATCATCACATTTATGCCCCGTTGTTATCGCTCTTACTGTCATGACTGCTCCAATGAGAGATTACAGACCAAGGCGAAGAAGGCAGCGCGCTGCGCTGGTGCCACTCTGCACTATTAAAGCTCCTTTTTATGCAAATGTGGCCCTCACCGGTACTAAGGCAGCAACAGGACTTTCTAGACAACCTCTGTGGTGACTGAAAAGCAGCACTGATTTGAATTTCAGTCCACGGCAATGCCCAGTACTTGCCACTGCCTGGAACTATGTAATTTTGCTTCTCCAAACCCAGACAAAACGTGGTCCCTTCGCTTTTTCGGCCTTTCGCACAACATGCCACCTAAGTTGTCACCCGCATGTGAGGGCTGGGATTTAGCAAGTCTTCAAACAATGGCTTGGGTGTTTTCTTTTCTCGTTTAGATTTCGCAAGGGAAATTTCTGGCCGCTTCAGCAGGGCACGCATTAAACAAGACCAGAGCCAGGGAAAGTGACAGATGCAGCCGTCCCGTGGTGTATGGTGATTCTATTTAGTTTTTATTTGGATACTTTCATCACTTCTTATGTCTTCAGGAGAAGAAAACCATCCTGTACCCCACGTCGTTTAAAAACTTACAAAGGAAAAAAAAAAAGACACAACCCTAGGCCACAGTCCACCTCCTTTACGGGATAAGGGGGGTGAACACCAACTCCCCCCGCGCGCCCGGCCGGCAGGGCCGCAGCCGGTGACAGAGCTTCGCGCAAAGCAACTCCCAGCGCCGGCGCTGCGCCCCCGCGCCGCGGCCCTTCCCGCGCCCTCCCCGTCCGCGCGGCCACGGCGCCCGCCCCAGCGCCCGCCCGGCCGGGCGGGTCCACGCGGCGCAGCCTCCAGGCGCCGCCCCGGCCCCCCGCGGCCCCGCGGGGCGCGGGGCCCGAGCCAGACCCCCCCAGCGCGCGGGGGAAGGAAGCGCCGCCGCACCTCAGCCGGGCCCCGACATCGCGGGCCGGGGGGCCCCGGGGAGGCGAGCGCGGCCCGGCCCCGGGGACGCGGCGCGGGCACCACGGCCGCGGGCCACAGCAGGAGACGGGGGTCCCGCGGCGGGCCGGGGAGGGGGCGCCTCACCTGCTCCTCCCGAGGGCGCCGCTGCCGCTCGCTGAGGGGACAACATGGAGCCTCCGCCTTCAGCAGGAGCAGCCCGGCGCGGGGAGGGGCGGGCAGGGGCGGGTCGAGCCAGGCCCGGAGGCGGGCCGCGGGCGGGGCCTGGGCGCCAGAGGAAACCGCGGCGGAGGAGGGGCGCGGGGCCGCCGGGCGGCGAGCGCCGGGCACGCAGGCCGGGCCGTCGGGCGGCCGGGCGGGAAAGCGCACGCGGCCGGATCCCGCCGGCGCCCGGAGCGTGTGCGCGTGCGCGGGAGCGCGAGGCGCGCCCCGGCCCCCTGGGCTGGGCCCTGGAGACGACGACACCTCGGGAACTGGAGCCCCCCGCGCGCCGGGTCCCCCGGCCTGTGGGGTCTATTCTGCGCCCTCATCCGGGGCCGGGAGGAAGCAGGAAAGAGGCCCGCAGCTGGGCGCGCCTCTCCGACGCCCGAACTACAACTCCCAGCAAGCCGTGCGGAGAGGAGACGGGAAGGCGGGCCGCGCGGAGTCCGCCTAAGAGCCCCACCTGGCGCTCCAACCGCTGAACTACAACTCCCAGCAGGCCGTGCGGGGTCCGCCTGCTCGCCCCGCCTGGCGCCCAGCGTGGACGCCGGCAGGGCTGGAGGCCTGGAGACACCTGGCCTCGAACCCCATGTTGGACGGCTTGGCCGCGTGGAGACGACTTGTTGTTTAGCGCGGGGGCGGGGAGGGGGCTCAATCCTGAGTGACATGAGCGTCCCTGTTGTTTTTTTTTTTTACGATCTTGACTTCATTACCACCATCCGCAGTTTCACCCTGTACTCCTGTCCCTGGCCGAGTCCGAAGGTGCACCACCACCGCCTTCACGTCTAAAGTAAGGACTTGCAATGAAACCCCTTCCGTTGGCCTTGTCCAGACATGGCCTCAGGTTTACAGGAGCCTGTTTTGTGGCTGCTTTTAGCGAGCACACGCCTTAATCTGTATGGTAGATCAAAACAAAACAGGGTTCTCTGAAAATGCTTCTATTCACACTTAACATGGGAGACGTGAGGAGAAAATGTCAGTTTCCACAAATGAAGAATATTGGGGAGAGTTTATTTTGGATTTGTTGGGGAATGGGGGTAGCGGGACATTTTGAAAGAGAGATAAGAAACTGCTGGGGGCCTCCCCGGTGGCACAGCGGGTTGAGCGCAGCGCTGTGAAGCTGGCCGCAGCCTCTGCAGCGCGGGTTCAATTCCCGGCCGGCCAGGAGATTCCCACATGGCGCAGCAGACCTCTCCTGTCTCGCCCGCTGCTCCCCGCAGCAGTGTATTTCATTAGTCTGCCTGTTCTGTTCCCTGCTCTTTCTCTGGTGAATCCTCTCACCCGCCTGCGCCTCTGGCCTGTACCCCAGTTCTTGTATAAAAATAAATAAATCTAAAAAAAAAAAACTGCTGAAACTTGTGGAGGCTAAACCTCCATACACCATCACCACCTCTTGGCATTACCACTGCCTCATTCATTAGACTCACTTTCTTGTTCCTTTAATGTTAAGCACCTAACTTTTGCTTTGGGAAAACCAAAATTATTCCATTTTCTTCTTTGTCTGACTTAGCTATTGTAACCTTCCCAGAACCTCATTCCAGCTACTTCTAGGCCCTGACAAGCCTTCGAGTTATTTTTTACTTTCCAAATGATTAGGCCAAAGGTGAAAAGGTAACGATAATTCTACCTTCTCTTACCTAAAGAGTTCCTGTTTTGATTTCTTCACCCCTATCCCTTTTTTTTTTTTTTAATTTGTACAAGAACCGGGGTACAGGCCAGATGCGTGGGAGGGTGAGAGAACTCACCAGAGACGGAGCGGGGAACAGAACAGGCAGACTGACAAAATACACTGCTGAGGGCAGGAGAGGTCTGCCCACCATGTGGGACCCTTGCTGGCTAGCTGGGATGGAACCGGCGCTGCAGAGACTGCGGACAGCTTCACAGCGCTGTGCTCAACCGCCTGCACCACTAGGGGAGGCCCTCCCCAATCCCTTTTGATTCCCACCCCTTCCCCTCCCCCCAGCCCCCAACTCTCAATATTATTTAAATACCCTCCTTTAGATTTATTATTTTAAAATATTTATTTATTTATTTTATACAAGAGCTGGGGTACAGGCCAGAGGTGTGGGAGGGTGAGAGGATTCACCAGAGACAGAGCAGGGAGCAGAAGAGGCAGACGACTGAAAACACTGCTGAGGGGAGCAGTCAGGGAGACAGGAGAGGTCTGCCTCACCATGTGGGACTCTCCCTGGCCGGCAGGGAATCGAACTGGTGCTGCAGAGGCTGTGGACAGCTTCACAGCGCTGCGCTCAACCTGCTGCACCACCAGTACCCTCCTTTAAAGAGTGGATATTAGAGCTAAATATGTTTGGTTATTGGGGTTTTACCCTGGAGGTGGGAAGGCAAGTCCTACGAGTTGTGATACTAATGTGGATTATTATTTGCATGTTCAGAAAGAGAGAGGAGGGGCCAACGGGCAATAGGTCTTCACAATCACAACATTCACTGTAAGAGTTTAAAATTGTGTGCACAAAGGGCCTCCGTGGTGGCGCAAGAGGCTAAGCACCGCACTATGAAGCAATCCGCAGCCTCTGCAGCAAGAGTTCCCTTCACATGGCAGCCACCACATGGCGCAGCAGACCTCTCCTGTCTTGCCCGCAGCCCCCCTCAGCAGTGTATTTCAGTCAAACTGCCTGTTCTGTCACCCACTCTCTGGTGAATGCTCTCTCTCTCTCTCTCTCTCTCTCTCTCACAGACACACAGACACACACACACCCATCTCTGGCCTGTACCCCAGCTCTTGTAGGCATAAATAAATCTTTAAAAAATAAAAAAATAGGGCCTCCCCGGTGGCGCAGAGGTTGAGCGCTGGGTCGCGAAGCTGCCCGTGGCCTCTGCAGCGCCGGTTGGAGGGCCGGTTCGATCCCCGGCTGCTCCCCCGCCTCCGGAGGAGGGTCCCACATGGCTCGTAGACCTCACAGACCTCTCCTGCCGCCTGCTGCTCCCCTCAGCAGTGTACTTCAGTCCTTCTGCCTGCTCTGCTCCCCGCTCTGGCTCTGGTGAATTCTCTCACCCTCCCACGCTTCTGACTGTAACCAGTGCTTGTATAAATAAATAATATTTTAAAAAATAAAATAAATCTTTAAAAAAATAAAATTGTGTGCACAGCCATCATTTTCTATTCCCCTTCTTACATTATCATTCTCCATAAGATCTCTGACCATCTGACTTGTGTTTTATTTTTCTTTTTGCCTCTTATTACTATAATATAAGTTACAGGAACAGGAACAGGAACTTTCGTCAGTTTTTGTCTATTGCTGCATTCCCAGTGCTTCAAATTGTGCCAAAGAAGGTAGATGTTACAACTAACACTGTTTGCTCACTTTCTTGTTCCTTTAAAGCTGAGTACCTAACATCTGCTTTTGAACAAAATTGCCTGTTCTATTTTATTTATTTTTAGATTTATTTATGCACAGAACTGGGGTGTAGGTCAGATGTGTGGGGTGGTGAGAGGATTCACTAGAGACAGAGTGGGGAGCAGAACAGGCAGATTTACTGAAATACACTGCTGAGGGGAGCAGTGGGTAAGACAGGAGAGGTCTGCTGCGCCATGTGTGGATCAGCTCCCTGGCCAGGGGTCGAACTCAGGCTGCAGCGGTGATAGCGCTGAGACTTAACCCCTACACCTGTTCTATTTTAAGGGCTCCCAATAGAGGGCCCCTGAAATCCATCCTGTCAGGAAATGACCAGCAAGTACTGACATTACATCTGTCTCAATATAACATCAAGGTGGACATTAGTACATCAGCCTTCCCCTTACCTTGGTGAGGTTTTGGCATTTGGAAACAGTAGAAATTATAGGTGGGCTTTAAGATTAGTCACAATTTAGAAAGCAATCCTGCCAAACAAACCAAAAAACATGTTTTTTTGGTTGGAGTTATTTCCCTCTCAAACATCCATGGTCATCAAAATAGTGAACATTCAAACTGCTAAATACTGATGACCCTGAGTATAGCCTGCCTTCCGCCATCTCACTTGAAATTAAGTCATGGGGTGAGATCAGAGGCTGAGCTTTCCTTGGAGCTTTCCAGAAGTAGGCAACTAATGTGTAGACATGTTTGAGTGGTTCAGGTCACTCGCTGTGGGGTCAGACTCACCTGTTTTTGAATTCTGCTCTGATGCTCACTAGCTGTGCAACCTTGGGTGAGTTGCTTAACCTCTTGAACCCATTTCATCATCTGCCAAATTATCTGAATATTCCAGTCACAGAGTTGTTGTAGGTTAAATGAGATGTGTTTGGCAACAATGACTGATGCATGGTTAGTGCTCAAAAATTGGTAGTAATCATACTCATTCTGGAAACGCAAAACAAACTTAAAATGCTCAAGATACTCATGTACTTTATGAAGCACAAAAATAGCAAAATTGTTTCCTGCTAAATTGACATCCACTGGTGACTCAGGTTCCAAAGCTTTCCAAAAATAGAGTGTTTGTTATATGCCAGGCACAGTGCTAGGCACAAAAATATTTAAAACACATTCCTGTCCTCTAGAGACTCACAGTCAAGAGAATAATTATCAAGCCAAGGAAGTAATTATCAAGCACATGACTGTGCTGGGACACAGTGGAACCTTCTCTTTTACCATCTACCTGCAGGATCCATGTTTAAGCATCAGTCTAGGCCCTGAGAAGGGACAGATTGGAATACTGGCATCCCTGCATTCCCCTGCTCTTGTGTAAAATGAGGAACTATCTCGGTATACTCATTCATAAAAAGAAAATAAACAGATGAGTGGATCAAGAAGCTGTGGTACATATACACAATGGAGTATTAGTCAGTGATCATAAAAGAAAAACATGCCATTTGTGGCAACATGGATGGAGCTGGAAGGGACTGTGTTAAGTGCAGTTAACCAGAAGTAGATACACTTATTTGTGGAATATAGAGAAACCAAACAGCAGGTAAATCTAAGACAAACATTAAAACCAACCCTGAAAGCTGCCCATAGATCTGAGGCACCCAAGGGGAAGGAGTAGGGAGGGGAGAGGACAGTGGACGGCAGTGAAGTACCATGGCTGCTTTAGTGGTGAGAGAGCAACATGACTACAGCTGAGAAGAGAAATCCTATACTGTGAAAAATATTAAGAAAGCAGTAAAACAATGGTCTTTCATTAAATAATCAGAGAGAAAGAAAGTTGTCAATCCCACTTCATAGGGTAAATATCGGACCCATCCTCAAAGTGCAAGATCTTTCAACTGCTTCATTGTTATTTCAACCAACAGCACAGCTAAGAAAAAAAAAATCTCAGAATTTACTGTTAAGGGGCCTCCCTGGTGGCACAAGGGGTTAAGCAGAGGACTATGAAGCAATCCGCAGCCTCTGCAGCAAGACTTCGATCCCTGGCTAGCCAGGGAGGTGACCCACATGGCACAGCAGACCTCTCCTGTCTCGCCCGCTGCTCCCCTCAGCAGTGTGTTTCAGTCAGTCTGCCTGATATGTTCCCCATTCTGTTTCTGGTGAATCCTCTTTCCCTCCGCATCTCTGGCCTGTACCCCAGCTCTTGTATGCATAAATAAATAAATCTTTAAAAAAAATAATTTGCTGTTAAGGAAGCCACATACCTCACAGCATGTACAGCATGTTATCATTTGTATTTGAAAGGGTACATGAGGTTATAGATTTGCTATATTCACCTTTGTTTGCAATGGCCACAGAAACCTCTTAACTAATTAGCGATGTGTATGTAGAGGGGAGGCTGGTGGATAGAGAATGGCTAGAGATAGAAAAAAACCTTATAGTATATGCATTTTTAAATATACCTATGAATAAACACATATGTGACTTGTGAATGGATTCAAAATTTTTTTTTTATTATTATTATTTTATAGAGGCATGTTTATTTGTTTATTTGTTTGTTTGTTTGTTTGTTTTGTTTACACATGCACTGGGTACAGCCAGAAGCACGGGAGGGTGAGAGAATTCACCAGAGCCAGAGCGGGGAGCAGAGCAGGCAGAAGGACCGAAGTACACTGCTGAGGGGAGCAGCGGGCGGCAGGAGAGGTCTGCGCGCCATGTGGGACCCTCCTCCGGTGGCCGGGGAGCAGCCGGGGATCGAACTGGCGCTGCAGAGGCCGCGGGCAGGTTCGCAACCCAGCGCTCAACCGCTGCGCCACCGGGGAGGCCCGGATTCAAAATTTTTAAAATTAAAACATAATTTTTTTTGGGGGGGGGGCCTCCCTGGTGGCACAAGGGGTTAAGACGCAACCTATGAAGCTGTCTGCAGCCTCTCCAACATGAGTTCAATTCCCTGGCTGGCCAGGAAGTAGTTGCCCACATGGCGCAGCAGACCTCTCTTGATTCGCCCCCTCAGCAGTGTACTTCAGTCAGTCTGCCTGTTCTGTTCCCCACTCTTGTCTCTGGTGAATCCTCTCATCCCCCACACCTCTGGCCTAAACCCCAGCTCTTGTATGCATAAATAAATCAATCTTAAAAAAATGTGATATTTCCCCCCTGAATATCAAGGAAAAATGGGAGAATGAGAGGGCCTAGAAGCTAAGTGTGACACTACCTGTATAGATACCATCTTCTAAGGCCAAGGTCAAGAGAGGCTCTGCTCAGTGCTTCACAGCCAAACTTGCTCCATGGAAATCCTGAGAAATGGCTATGCTCCAGAAAGCACTCAAAAAAATCCCATCTGAGCCATTCCCTACCCAAAAATTTTCACCGAATCCCCATTAGCCTTAAACACAGTCTCAATTCTTTAGTGCTATATTACTGTTTCCCCACATCCTGGCCCTATTGTATCTCCCCCCCATTTTATCTCCCTCTCTACCCAATTCGAGGCCTCTGCTCTAGCCAACCTGGGCTACCCACACCCAAAACACCTGACACACCATCACACTTCTCCGCCTGCGGCCACCACAGATGGCTATGCAGACTGTGAGTTGCATGAAGGCAGCCAGAAGAAGGGAGGGGCAGGAAGGAGCCAAAATGGGAGACTCCTGCTCGAAAAGTAGCACTGAGGTGCACAGCAGCTGGGCTGGGAAGAAGGAATGCTTTTTGTGATTCTTCTATCTAAAAGGATGTCTTTGTATACTTGCATAAAAGCAACCCCAGCATCTGCATCCCATGTGTTAACTACCTCCTTAACAGTCCAAACTCCTAACATTGTCCTTTATAAAGCCTCCCTAAGCTACTATAACTCCATGATGATTCCCTCCCTTCTTAAATCATACAATTCTCTGGCCAAGTAATCATAGCATTAGAGTTTTGTGTCGTTTATCGTTGCCTTTAATTTGTATTTTTTAACTTTCTGTGAATATGTCCTAAACCCCAACTAGCTTGTAAGCTTATTGAAGACAGGACAAACATATTTTTTGAATCCTTCCAAATTTCCCAGGATAGAGTCATACACACAGCAGGTAAATATTTGTGGCATAAATGATATATACAAATAACATACCAAGCTGGAATTAGTCTCAGGGAAGTGGGCTGGTATGGCAAGAAGAGAGCAGGAAGGAAAGCCAGCTTCAAGAATTGAACCTAACACAGAGGCCTCTTGTGTAAAAAAGGTCACAAGAGAACGCCAAGACCACATCAGTGTATTGATTTTTAGCGTCTTTTCTCAATTTCTAGATATCATGGAAATGGGCATCCTTTTCAGCCAGGATCCCCAGTTTCTAGCAAAAATTGTTAGAGGCAGGGACCAGCATCATTCATGTCTTTATCCAGCACCTAGTGATGTAGTTTTAAATTTTATACTTTTATCAGAATGGGGGGATAACTAGCCTGCTTATCAGATTGGCTTGTATATTTCCCTTTGTCATCTAAAGGACAGTCTGCTGCATTATCAACAATGCTGTAAGTGCCAGAGTAAGATATTTGGCCGCCAAGTTATTTTGGGAAATAGTCTTCTGTGCCTTTTTTCAGAGTGTTGCAATGGCCAAGAGTTGGGGTTTTTTGTTTGTTTTTTTCCCTATCTGGGCTTTACCTGACCTTAAAAACTGTCAAGGGCAGATGTAGTTCACTGCCTGTTCTAGAAGATTTCCACTAGTCAGATTGCTTTCCTCCTGGCTGACTCCCTCCCACTTCATGAGACTGCATCTTTACAGGATCTGCTGATCCTGCAATAGTCCTTCATCGATTGCTGCTTTAGCAATAACAAGGCCTTCTGCCTTGATTTTTATGATTTCCAGTCTATGTTCCCCTTTTTAAAAGAAGTCTATACCTTTCAAATATTTGGATGAGCTGTGGAGAGAAGGCTTTGAATTTCACAAGCCAACCGACCCTAAAAAGTGAGCAAATCTCATTATCTAGATATCTGGTTTCAGATACATTTTCTGTTAAGGACCTTTTATAGGCTATGATTAAAATTCAATTGTGTCTTTTATGCCATATTCTAAATTTTTAAATAACTCACTATAGCCACAGCCAGGATGTTATCTCCTGGCTCTGCTTTTTCTCATCAGCTCAGCTGTTGTTATTCCTTAAAAAACGTCTTCTCTACCTGACGGCCTATTCCGATCAAAGACCAAACTAAAGACCCGAAGGCCGAGCTGCAGTCCCCTCTAGGGAGAGCAGCGAGGTAAGAATACCAAGCAGGGTCTGTAGCTGCACTGCAATGTGATTGGAATGAGTAATGGATTTGCACTCGCAGGGCATCTTTCTCCACCTACCAAGTGGGCGCCTGTGCCACCCCTGTCTCAGGAGACTCTGCGACACGGCCAGATGGATTCCCACGGCACCGGGCTGCACAGGCCGGGACCACAACGTGCTTTTCACCTTTCACAGGCGGGAAAGCCTCAGACAAAAGACACCAGCTCTGGCATTTGTGCAACAGATACTCTCCAGCTCATGGGAGGGAAAAAGCAGTGCCCTGCGGCTGAGTTACACAATCAGCCACGACCCCCAAACGCTCCCTGAGAGGTACCAAGAAACGCCGGGCCCCGGGCCCTCGGGGTTCGGCCGCAGCGGCGGGCGGGGCCTGGCGCCCGGTCACGCCCCCGCGTCCGGCTCCCCGAGGAGCGCGGGCGCCGCGCGAGACCGGCCGCGCCTCCTTCCTGCGGCCGCGCCGGGGGCCAGCGCCTGCGCCTGCGCCCTGTCGCCGGAGCCTCGACGCGGCCGCCGCCCGCCCCCGCCGCGCGCTCGCGGGCCCCCAGTGCGCCTGCGCGCCCGCGCTCCCGCCCTCGCGCCGCGCTCGGCTGAGTCAGTCAGTCTGACGGAGCCGTCCTCGGAGCCGGAGGTGTGAAGCGACCTCGCAGAGCCCGCGCCCGGTTCTTCTCGCTCCCCCCCTCTCTCCCGCCCCGCGCCTCTCTTCACCCCGCTCCCGTCCCTGCTCGCGCAGCCATGGCGGAGCCGTCGGCGGCCACCCAGTCCCCGTCCGTCTCCTCGTCGTCCTCCGGGGCCGAGCCCTCCGCGCCCGGCGGCGGCGGGAGCCCGGGAGCCTGCCCCGCCCTGGGGCGAAGAGCTGCGGCTCCTCCTGTGCGGGTGAGGCTCGCGGGGTCCCCGCCGCGGGAGGGGGGCTCGGGGCTCGGGAAGGGCGCGTCCCGCGCCGGCTGGAGCGGGGCCCCGGGGACGGCGTCTGGTGAGTGGGCCGGGGGGAGGGGAGCGCGAGGTCGCGCCACCGGTGAGGAAATAACGGGGTGTGAGGCAAACAGGTTGGGGGCGGGGAGCTGGTCTGCAGAGTGGGCGTTAACGCCCAGACGGGCAGGTGGGGGGCCGGCGCCCGTGGGGGGGGGCCGTCCGCGCACCGGGGGTGAGCGGGTGGAGGACGGAGGGGCCGGAGCAGGTGGATTGCGGGGCGCGGGGCCGAGGACAGGTGTTGACACTGTCGTCCAGGAGCCTCCCGAGGCCGGGGAGGGAGGCTTTGCTCTCGGGAAGGATGAGCCGGTGGGATGGAACATTCGAGCCCTGCATTTTACCGTTCCCGGCCTTCGATTTCTCTGTGGCTAGACGCTCCCGTGCCCGCTCTCCCCGAGGCGTGATGAGAAAGGCTCGGGAGGCTGGGGAGGGAGCCGCGGTGGGCCAAGATGGATCCGTGGCTGCAACTGCAACACAGCCTGGCGCGGCGTGGGGGTGGGGGCCTGCAGGCGGTCGCCTGTGTTCTAGAAGGTGATCGGGAGAACCCGGCCAAGCCGGCAACGTATTTGGATTTCATGCTTTCTGAGGGCTGTTATTGATCGCTGAGTAACAAAAGGGGGGGTTTACCGCAGAAAGGGGGGAGGGGGAAGAACATTCAGACAAAGCAGTGGCTGCTTGAACCCCCTTTCTCCTCCCATCTCTGAAAGACTAGGAGGGAAGCTGCAGGCCGCTTTTAGTTTCCATTGTATGCGCGTCTGCCTGCTGGTGGGAGCTGGCTGGCAAGCGCCCCTCGCGCAGAGATCTGCAGTGCAGATGCCTTCTTGAAGAGAAAAAAATGCACCATGAGCAGGTGGTGGTTCTTAAAGGAACTGTCTTTGAAGGAAAAAAATAAATGCGTTTTCTCATAGGAAGAACTAGAAGCTCGGGAGAATACATAGGATTTTGCTCTCTTTTTAGTTCCATTAAGAGGTTTTGAGAGATTTTTTTTGAATGTGTCATTATTGTCTCCTTTGCCAGAATCTTGGGTTTATGGTGCTAAGAACATAACATTTCTGATCTTTAGGTATCTCGACGTCTTTTTCTAATCGTGGATTTCCGTATAAGAGCCTTGGTGTAACCCTGTTGGATTTCCCAGTGTGGTTAATGTCATTTCAGGAGACTATCAGAGGAAGCTTCTGCAAGGTCAAGATTAGCTGTCCAGATAAAGGAATGAGGCAACAAATTTAGAATCCTGTTCCCTTTAAACTACTAGCAATTCTGCTCCAAATTTTTGTTTTCTGGGCAAACATCCAGATGAACTGCAGCTTCCCTATAACTTAGCAACTTGATGTTTTGGTTTCAATATACTGTCATTGCTTACTGTTTGTTGTACATACCTTTGTGTGTTTTTTATTTAAATTTTTTATACAACTGATAGATACTGTATCTTGAATGCTTATCTATTGCAATATGTGTTAATAAATACTGGAGAGGTATTTTTATTGAGTCCCAGGTTCTACATCATGAAAATAAGGTGGAGTGGTTTTTGTTGTTGTCGTGGTTATTCCAAAAGTTACTCATTTACAATGGCTACTAAAAAAATATACTTCGATTTTTGCCAACCTTCACCTTCATGTTCTTTCATCAAGTAACTCTTAGTTTTAGAAACTTTCTAAAAATAAAAGGAGAGTACATGGTTCCTTGGTACCAGGCAGGAATCAAGTATGTCTTCACTGACCTATCCACATAAATTTCACAAATAGTGGTTCCTGCATGAAGTTAGAGAATGAAGGTCCAGTACCTGAGGTACTAATGCAGCCAGCAATGTGGAATGCTTGGAGAAGATCAGGAGCCAGGATTGGTCCCTAGATTGCCTAGATTTCTGTCTCTGATGTAGTTTCAAAGACAGAAATTAGAGGCTGAGGTGAAATTGAGTTAAATATTTAGTGTTCTTTCTAGGAGGAATGTTGCCTTTTATTAGACTTCAGGAATAGATGGATGCCTCTTGTCTGAACTTTAAAAGTGTTAATACTTAACTGTTGATAAGACTTTGAAATTCAGTGACTTTGCTAGAGATGTTCTTTATGATTGCTGTGAAAATCATGATGCCAAAATAAAGCCACATGTCAGGTATCTGTTCATGGAAATTAGCTCAGAGCAAACAGCTTGGCCAATTTCTTTAAGCTTTTGCTCTAAATACTTCTTTTCTTACTCATGAAAGTTAGTACCATGTGCTTTTTATGGTGTCATGTTCAGACTCTTAACGTCAATCAAATGTGAGTATATAATTTGTACTTTCAGTCTTAACCCCTAAAAAAGACTCTGACCACCTGACCACTGATGTTATCTGTATACTGTAGTGAGGTTAAGTTACCATGGTCATGTGAAATTAACATGGTGATAAACACACAGGCTTGAGCTGAGAGACAGACTCTCCCTCAATAATTTCATGACTTGATACAAATCCTGAGCCTCACTTAGACTAAATTTGCTTTTGGCCTTTAAATCCTACTATTTGATATCTGTATTTGCAAGGTATAAGGTTTTCCACTTACATACAAAATAGCAATTGAATTACAAGTGAGAATCACAACCTTCCTCTTAATAAAGAACCTGTGCATTTTTCATTCTAAACGTGAGGCAGTGTTTCAGCTTTTGACCACTCACATTAAGTCTTAATTAATGCTGCCACCCCTTTCATTCAGCAAGTTTGTTGAAGAGGTGGGGGAAGGAGGAGAGCCAAGATGTTTTTCAGGTGGTTTGGCATAACATCAATATGCTTAATTATTTCTGCAGCATTCTAACCATAATAAAGATAGTTATAATACATTATGAAGTTCCTATCAGTGGAAGCAAGAGACAGGAGACAGCAAGAAGGATCATGTCAGTATGGACTACAAATACCTCATGACTTGGATGGTTTTTATTTCTCAGGAATAAAAGGTTCTTTTCAATGGTGTTTTCTTTCAGAATCAAATTCACAAATGATTTAACCATTCTGATTAAGCAAACCAGTCTATATATATTTAATAGGCATAGCTTAATCCTAAATTGAAATCTAGAGAGGATTGTTTATAAAGTTGCTGCTAAGAGCATCCGTGCTTTTATTATTTTAGAGATTGTTTGAAAACAAAAATAAAACTATGATTATAAAATTATTGTATTCTGCAATGGGAGAATTATATATCCTGATATAGGAGTCACTATTAAATCCTGCACTCATAAAATGAAGTTTGGTAGTGGAGGAATTGGTGACATGTCATTGAAGGGAAAAGGGAAAGTTAAGGTTTTCAGTTTTGTTTGAGCCAGGAGTTTTTTCTGCAGAAAGGCACTTCTCATTAGTCATAATTTTAGAATTAGCACTTTTGTAATTATGAGCAGAATTATAAAGTCTCCAAATAAATGATTATATGTATTTGTTGTATGTACTTAGAGTTTGTGCTCAACTTTATTGCAAATGGTGAATTTAGTATTGCTTCCTAACCTTACACTTTAATTGACATTAATTTCATAGTAAAACTTTTTGGATAAAATTACCAAGTTGATGTTATGTTCATATAATTAACTCATTTAGAAGTTGCTCAGGAAACTGACTTACCTTCAATTCTGTTCATTGTACCTTATTGTTGAGTATGTAACAAGTGTTTTGAAAAAGGTGTATATGCTAAGTAAGTTTAGCTATAATCAGTGTTGCTGGTGCTTGCATCATTGAAGGCTTTACTACATATCTGTGACCTATGTAAGAAATGTTACTCTGGGATATTGCAATTTCAGAGAGAATTCCTTTAAATACTGTATAGGATTTGCATTTCTTTTTTTTCTTTTCTTTTTTTTTTTTTTTGGAGGGGGGTGGGTAATTGTTAGCAGGTAGCCTGCTCTTATGAGAGTTCTTATTTGTTTTCTTCAGACAACTGATTTATTTCTCCCTATAAGCACATCATCATAACCTAACCAGGAGAGGACTTGTGAGTTTTTTGACATATTCCTCATTGGGAACTCGCCTTTGAGCATAGATTGAAGGGTATTTTGGAAACATTTTTTCTTACTAAATTAATACAGAACCCTTTTGTCCTGCTACCTGAAAACATTTCAGAGGTGAGCATTGTCTTCATTTTACACATAAGGTAGAAATGTTTGATTTCTATGTTACATTTGTATATTGTTTCATATTTTAAATTGTGCCCATATATAAACTTAATTCAACAAATGTTTGAGTATACATTAAACCTCTTTGTTAGGTGCTGTGGAAGATAGAAAAGTAAATAAATTACAGACCATCCCTTGAGAGGCTGTATTTCAGTGGGAGATAGACTTGTATTATGCTTATGTAAAATCTCATTTTACAGATGAAGAATTAAACTCAGATATTAGGAGATATGCCCAAAGGTTTGTGGCTGTGAAGTTGAGTATAACGATGAAACTAAGACTGAAGGATCAATTCCTTCTTCTCTCAAATATACACATTGCCTCTCTTTAAAATTGGAAACAATGTGTAAGTAGTTCAGTCACCCTCTTGAATTCAGTTATCGGTTTAAATTAACAACCTTCATTTCTGATCCCATGGTTTCTAAGCCAGGTGCCCTCGTGTTCCATTGTTTCATAGAAATTTCTCTTGTGAAGTTTACCAGTTCTTTCCACATTGTTAAATCCATTGTCGCGTCTCAGTCTTTTATCTTTTTTATATATAATATCTTTTTATTTATTTATTTTATATATTTTTTACATTATTTTTCATTTTTGCACAATGTATGCATTTTCATCTTGGTTTTAGTCCCCATACAATTCCCCCCCACCCTTATTTTGATCCTAATCTGGTGCCCGGTCCCCCCCACCCCTGCCCCTGTTTGTCTCTGGTTTATAGTTGTTTGTTGATTTTTATTTTTATTATAATTAGTTTTTTTCCTGGTCCCTTATTTAGGTCTTCTAAATTCCTGCTATGAGTGAGACCATCGGGTATTTTTCTTTTTCTTTCTGGCCTATTTCACTGAGCATGATCCCTTCTGGCTCCATCCATGTTGCTGCAAATTGCATGAGTTTATCTTTTTTGATTGCTGAATAATATTCCATTCCATTTACCACATCTTCTTCATCCAGTCATCTATTTTGGGCATTTGGGTTATTTCCATAGCTTACCTATTGTAAATAGTACTGCTATAAACATAGGGGTGCAGGTGCCCTTTTGAAGTAATGTTTTTGTGTCAGTCTTTATCTTAAATGCCCTCTTAACGACTTATGTAAAATTGATCTCTTCGGTCTCCTTGGAAAATCTTTTAAAATTTGTCTTCTGTGACACTGCACTCTCACCAACTGCTCTTCCTCTATCTCTTTTGCAAGTTTTTTTTTTTTCTGAGATATAATTCACGTAACAAAACCTTTTTAAAGTGGTTTTTAGGTTATATACAAGGTTGTAAGCCATCATCACTATATATTGAAGAATATTTTTATTACCCTGCCCACTGCAAAAGAATCCCATACCTGTTAGCACTCCTCACTACTCCTTCCCTCTCTCAGCAACCACTGATTTACTTTCTGACATCAGGGAGTTCCGTATTCTTGGAATTTCACATTACTGCTTATT